ATCCTCGTCCACTAAGTTTCTTCACTCTCCACTTCATAATATCAACTTCATTCTAAACAATTAGAAAGAACAAATTATACATGTCTCCACAAAACATAAAGAATATTAGTTGTTTAAGGAAGATATATTATTTAGAATATTAAATATACCTAGAAAGTAATTATATGTGTGTGGGCGGGTACCCATGGGCGCGTTTGCGTAAACCCAAACCCATCCCAACCCGATGAATAGTGTAGCAGGTTTAAACCCGAACCCGGCCCAAAACCCGTCAACACGGATTTTACCTGAGTTGACCTGGTTGGGTCGGGTGGATACCCATCGGTTCGGGTTTTGTTGCCATCCCTACTAGTGACGTGGAGCTGAATTTGGCGGAACCATCCATAGCTATCAGCATTCTCTCCATCAACAATGACGAAGGCTAAAGGAAAGACTTGTCTATTTGCATCCTCCCCACTGGAAATCAGGAAAGTGCCGTTGTACTTGCCGGTAAGGAATGTACCATCCACTTGGATCACAGGGAAACAGAAGCCAAAACCATCAATAGATGGCTTAAATGCCCAAAAATTTCGTCTGAAATGGCGCTTGTTACCTGGCTTCGGGGGTAGTATCTCTTCATCTTGGTATCGAGGGGAGAAAACCGTGCCAGGGTTCGACGCCTCCAATGCCAAAATTAACCTGGGAAGGAATGTATATGATTCTTCCCAATCACCAAAGACGGCGGCCAGATCTTTCTGCTTTCCATGCCACGCCTTCTTATTGTTAATCATATAACCATAACGACTTGCAATGTTAGAGATTATGACTTTCACCTTCAGGTCCGGATCTTGCTCAATTAGATGCTTGATAGCCGCAACAACCACCCTGGATTTCAACTGTCGATGGCCTTGGGAAGCTATGGATGACACACATGTGTGTGTGTTCACCGCACGGGATATGACCCAATGGTCGTGTCTCTTGCTTTTGATGGCCCGAATCCTAACATTGCACCCCTCGTGATGATTACGACATCTGACTATGAGCCTTTTAGTGTTGGAATGAGTTGTGTGCCATTCAAAATGCCGAGTCATTGCTTCAGTCTCAATGGCGTGCTGCACCTCCTTCTTCGAGCCAAATTGTTTGCCCTTCATAAACCTAGTGAGTGGACCCCATAATGGGACCTCTGGCGGCTCCATGTCGTTGTCGACCATCCAATTGTCGTCTGGAATGTGATTGTAGTAGGGGACTGGTACACGGTCACGAGCCACCTCATCATCATTAGCTGAGTCTGACTCTGGTCCTGAATCATCAGCACCTTCAAGAGGGTCGGAGCTGTCTGTAATGACGTTGTTCTCTACTTCTTCATCGGAGGGGTCACTGACTGGTGCTGGCAGGGCATCCTCCATCCGATCCAGCTCATGAAAGGCACATTCATCAGCTCTATAATGGTAGTTGTGAAAACTACTACTGCCTGATTGGAAGTTGTACTGAGGTTGGTTGGGGAGGTCCGGTTGAACTTCTTCTTCATATGACGGGAAAGATTGATGATGACCTTAACCTTGCTCTTGGTACTGAAAATAGGAATGAGGATTATGGTAACTTTGGTAGGGATGATCTCCATATAATTCACCTCCACCATGGATACCAGATGTTTGACCGTGTCCAGAATGACCTCCAACGCCTATGACCGGCTCGGTGTAAACGAACATCTCGGCTTTGGAAAGATTGTGGGACCTCGAGAATTCGAGCATGACATCTACCACATCCTCAGTGGTTATCAGATATTCCTCATGCCACAATGACCTACTTTCTCTGTTTGGATATCGGTACACCATACGATCAACTCTTCTGGTGCCATCCATGCAAGTAACATTAGTGCACATTTGATGGAGGTCTTCAAGAAGCGGTCTGGTAGCGACCTTTATCTTCTGAAAATTGCCACCGACGTAGGTGACCCCCTTTCCAGTCTCTTCCGTGTAACCATTCCACCATAAGCCAAGCGTGAACTTTTGGAATGCCATATGCAAAAAAACCGTAGTTCAGTTAATATCATAAAAATCAAAAATAAAAAATAACAATAGAAAGTAATACAAAATAAACTACGAGTTAACGTTAATCGCAAAACTACTAAAGAAATATAGAGCTACAACAGAAAATTGAAAAGGGAGAAGGAGAGGTGTGAAGAGAAGTGGTTTTCCGGGAAGTCTTTTATAGGCAAAATCACTGATGAAAACCGCACCTTAGATAGGTAAAGCTTTTCAGTTGGTAGTAAAACTACATTGGGGCCGGGTTCGGATTTAAACTCTCTACACTATTCACCGAGTTGGGTTGGGTTTGGGTTTAGGTAAACCTGCCCCATGGGTACCCGCCCACACACATATAATTACTTTCCCGGTATATTTAATATTCTAAATAATATATCTTCCTTAAACAACTAATATTATGTATGTTTGTGGAGACATGTATAATTTGTTCTTTCTAATTGTTTAGAATGAAGTTTATATCATGGAGTGGAGAGTGAAGAAACTTACTTGACGAGGAAGAAACTTTCAATTAATCTTGTGGTTTATAGATGTTTATCTTTAATTTTGAACAATTTGTATCGATCATTTGCGGTTTGCTTGTATGCTCTAGATTAGTGTTTTTTGTATCAATAATTTAAATGAGAAAATTGATGTTAAACTTTTATTTTGAAAGAAACTTATTATTGTAAATATTTTGCCACAAAAACTCACGGGTACCCGTGAACCGCGGATACCCAGCGGGTTGAGTTGGGTTTGAGTTTTTCAAACCCAACGGATTTTACCCTGGGTTTTTTTTGGCGAATAAATCCATGAGTTTTTGGCGACTTTGGTGGTACCCGATGCCCTATTCTAACTTAAGTGGTATGTCTACCCCGATTTTCAAACATAAGTGGTACTCGAGGTATTTTACCCATCTTCACCTGGATTATCTCTCTTCTCGTGGTGGTGGTGGTGGTGGTGGTTGTTAAGTATTTGGTTGGTGTTGTGGTCATTGATACCTCCCTCCATGTTGTCTATTAGTGAAGAGGTGGAACTCTCAATTTGACAACCTCTTGGTGAGGTAGGTGCCGATTAGGTTCTTTTCGCCTTCCCCACCCTTGCATGTTTATCGGTTGTACATACAGGCCTTTTCGATTTCGTGATTTAGTGGCAGTAACTCCTTAGTCTCCCTACTTCGCATATACAAAGAAGAAATTCCCTGGAACTTTTTTTTTCCTACACACTAAAACACAAATCAAAATAGTTCACTCAAAAAAAATTAATTAAAATTGAATTTAGGAAATCCCCAACAATGGCACAAAAAACTTAGTAGCGACAAAACTACAAGTGCACAGTGTCGTACAAGTAATAACGTGTAAGTAAAATTATCATTTTCTAAGGGATTGGTGAAATTCAATAATTAACAAATTTAGTTCAAGAAACTATAGGAATTGCAAAGGTTGTAATCAAGTGGTGATTTGCAAAGATACGCACAAATTAAGTCTCTCGATATGTTCCAGGGGGAACACAAGATTTTACTATTTTACCTCAGTAAATTTAATTACCCTTTTCAATCAATTTAATCCATATATCTACAGTCAAGATACCTCTAAATTTTTAGCTATCTCTGTCGAGAATTACCATGTACTGACTAATTAAGACAATTTCCACTATCGTAGTTAACTGAATTAATTAATTAGTCAGAAGAACGATATCCGTAAAATGACTGCATAATTCCCTATTTAATCCACTATCGCTTAAGTAGGAAATTATGTCGTGTTAAATGTGTTCGAGTACTAGGTTTTCACTATCGTTATTAACCTAGAAAACTACAAATCATTGTGGTGACCAATCAAAACAAAGCATTAAACCATTTCACACCATAGAAAATGGAAGAAAAACAAGTCGTCATTAAAACATTGTGACTAGATAATGAAATCCATAAGTTTCCCCCATAAATTAGGGATTAGTTCATGATGAAAAGAAAGAACATAAACATGATAATGTTCAACATCATAACTAATTACCTAAACAAACGAGTGGATAAAGTACCACATCATTTTATATATTGGTGATAGAAACCGTAATTTACGTTCTTTCTGCATTTGAACTATGTGTTAAATTATTATTGTTGGGGGATTTGTTGGGACATTTTGGAATTATTGGGAGGGATTAATAATTTCGGGTAGTGAGTAGAAATTGTGGTTTAGTATATAAACCATTTTAGAGAGCTAGGTCAAGGTTAAGCAGAATATTATTCCTAATTATGTTACCTAATCTCCCTCTGTTCTTTTCTCTTTGGCCGACTCCTCTCTTCCCTTCCCTTTGTTGCCGCCGCAGCCCTCTCCCACTTCCTCTCCTTTTCCATTCTTCAACCCTTCTTCTTCCTCAATTCTACTAGAGTTAACCACCACCTCGGTGATTGACCCCATTTCCCAAATACCTAGTTAATCCGATAGAACCTGACACCCAAGTTTCTATCATTTGGTATCAGAGCCCCGTTACTGATCTAGAATGGGAAGACCAAACAACGTAACCATGGTGCAGACCTAGTACATGATAGCTGCAGAGAAGACCGCGTTGGAGAAGGCCGGTGAAGTAATATCAAAGACCGCCGCTGTAGGAGGAGCAAAGGAGAACAGGGCCAAGGTCTCCACGCCGCAGGAGGAGTCGCTGCGAGATGGCGAGATGGAAGACTTGACGGACAACGAGACCCTCAAGGTATCGTTCCTTAACCTGGCGGAGGCACAGTTCGAGCAGCAGGTCAATGCTACCACGGCCAAAGAAGAGAGATGCGATGATGAGGATCCTGCTGGGGGTCTAGGCGCAGCAACAGAAGATCGCCGCTTTCCTAGGGCTGACCGAGGCGGAGGATGAAGTGGAGAAGGCACCGACTGGGCCGAAAGAGTCGGCGACCGCGGTCGGAGTGGGGAAGAAGACGGCGGTGAGGATTAGTGCCGCCGAGCCACTGTCGGCAAGGGAGGCCGCCGGGCGAGGAGTCAAGAGACGACATGAGGGGCGATGGCGGCGGCATCTGGCCAAAGCCGCGCTCTCCAGGCGCAACCGAGCCACACCACGAGCGGTCCTAAGGAAGCCGCGGGCCTACTGCCGACTCCGACGGCGCAGGAGATCGCCGCGATCCATGGTAAGGGGAAGCTACCGGGCTATGAGAATGTGGTCGTGAGTGGGATTATGGGCCATGGGGCTCAACAGATCAGATCGAAGGGCCGAGGCGAACCGGAGATCCCAACGGGCTCCGGTGGCTGGGTTCGGAGCCAAGCCCTGACGGGTGGAAGCTGGGTCGAGCTAGTCGGTCGGGCTGGGTTGGGCGTTCGAAGGAAGCCGATCGGGGATCCATGAACCGGTTGGACTAGACCGGTAGGACCGGTACCGGGTGGACCATGCACGGTCGAACCAGAATGGACCCCAACCGGAACGCATCTCTACGAACAGGCAAGGGCAGCTGGGCCGTCGGCCTAGGAAGAGGAAGGGCGAGGCCTCCAGGAGGGGATGATGGGCCGCCTGGGTACGAGCACTATCCCGAGGATGATGGCTATGGCTGGGTCCAATCGCGAGAGATGACGGATGAGCACTATCCCAAGGATGATGGGACGCCTGGGTACGAGCACTATCCCGAGGATGATGGCTATGGCTATAGCCAGGTACGACGGTTAAAACCGCTTTCATGAATATGAGTATGGGTTGGTGTTTCGAGCCAAACCCCCGACCATCGAATTTCTGAAATTCAATGGCCAGGAGGACGCCGTGCTATGGTTATACGCTGTGAAGCGGTGGTTCAAAATCATCCGACTCGGGAGGAGAGGAAGGCAAATCTGGCGTCTTTCTACTTAGAAGGTGACGCACTACACTGGTGGGAGTGGTTGGCGAGGTCGTGTGCCGCGGCTGGGACACTAATCACTTGGCCGCTATTCCAGGAGGAGCTTCGTTACCAGTTTGATAAATCCGAGGGCTGGGCACCAACGCAGTTGGCCAAGCTCCCACAGACCGGGTCCGTAGCAGAGTTTCGCACGGAGTTCTTCAAGCTTGGGAATCAATGCAAAGGGGTCCCATAGGAAACCTTGGTGGGGTTATGCATGGCTTGCTTGAAGTTGGAGATCGCAGCAACAGTTAAGATCTTTGAGCATGATACTCTGAGGGCTGCTTTTCGTCTTGCAGGACACAAGGATGAAGAATTGGCAAACTGGAAGAGCGTTATAGGCCGCTATCCCCGGTTAGGAGGTGGAAACAACCAAAGTGTCGTTAGCAATGGAGGGGGTAACACCCTCAATTCGGAAGGTAGTGGAGCTAGCGCTACATCCGGCGGTTCTTCATCCAGGGGTCGGTCGGGACCAAGGACCCCACCCAAGGGTTTTGTCAGACTGAGTCCATCGGAGATCAATCAGAAAAGGCGAGAAGGAAAGTGCTTCAACTGCGGTGAGCGGTTCACTATTGGACACAAGTGTTCGTAGCCCGAATTAATGATGTTGGTGGGGCCCTGGGAGAATGAAGCCGAGGACGAGGCGGCGGAGTTTGGGACGGAAGGATGAATGAAAGACTAGCAACCTTGTGGTCAAGGTTGTTTCGAAGAAGGCGGGGATGATAGAAACCGCGATTTATGTTCTTTCTGCATTTGAACTATGTGTTAAATTATTATTGTTGGGGGATTTGTTGGGACATTTCGGAATTATTGGGAGGGATTAATAAGTTCAGGTAGATAGTAGAAATTTTGGTTTAGTATATAAACCATTTTACAGAGCTAGGGCAAGGTTAATCATAATATTATTCCTAATTATGTTGCCTAATCTCCCTCTCTTTTTTTCACTCTGGCCGACTCCTCTCTTCCCTTACCTCTGCTGCCGCCGCAGCCCTCTCCCACTTCCTCTCCTTTTCCATTCTTCAACCCTTCTTCTTCCCCAATTCTACTAGAGTTAATCGCCACCTCGGTGATTGACCCCATTTCCCAAATCCCTAGTTAATCCGATAGAACCTGATACCCAGTTTTCTATCAATTGGTGAGCCACGAATTCTCCAGATTTTTCGCCCACAAAACAAGGCATTTTCAGCTCCCATTTTCAAAAAACGGCTTCTGCTAGCTTAAGCCTCTTTCCTAGAAATCAATTCCTACATCATTTTATCTATTGGCGAGCTACCAAATTCATTTGCTCACTTCAATAAATTTGATCCAATCCAACAGATTCTGGGGGCTGCTGACAGTTGAGTTAAGATCCCAACCACAATAATTCGATTCGTGTCTTCATCGGTTTGGCCTCATGCTGGACATTTGCCTCTGCACGTCCGCACTTTGCCACTGGACCTGCATTTGTCCACTGCACTTTGTTTTGTTCACAATCTTAGCTTCAATCTGTGTTAAAATTACTAAATTTCTTGGTAATGACAGTAGGGCCATTCCATGGTCAATATGAAATTATTTAGAGCAATTTAAACACATAATACATAAAGATCAATAATTTATGCACAAAATACATGTACGTTTATGAAGCTTATCAAAGAACTAGTGCAACCTTGATGAAAACCTAGTTTTGTTACTACAATCAACTAGTTGCACTTTTTTGTTTTGGTCGGGAACTAGTTGAACTTTCACTCTAGTTAACTAATTACGTAAATATGCCGATTGGCTTAGAATGAAATTACGCACGTTTCACTCTGCTGGCTCCATATTTTGGTCGGGAAATAGTTGAACTTTCACTCTAGTCATAGGCAAAGGCAGGCCCAATATATGGGCCTTGTCTCGGGACAGAGTTATATTTTGGAGGAACAAAAATACGCCATATATATTTATATTGGTGATGGAGCAAAATACATATAAGTAGTATTAGAGTATTTTGTTACTACAACACAACTCATTAGTTGTTAAAAAATTTACATAAAATTAACTTATTATACAAGTAAATGAAATTCCAATTGCAATAAAGATATAACCAGATGTCTTTCTCCTTATGCCTATTCAATCTTTTCCTCAACAATCCTGCAATTCCTCTAATTTTGATTCTGCAATTACAACTACAAGTGTAGAAAGAGCATTTTCAGCGTTGAGTTATATTAAGAACAAATTTCCAAATCGATTTGGCAACTAGTTTGCTAGTGCTTGTTTAGTGAGATGCAATGAAAAATACTTATTTAATAGTGTAGATAATGAATGCTTTTGCATTTCTTTCACAATATGAAATCCTTTCGTGGTTATTTATGAAAACAATGATTGTATAATCGGTTATTTTTAATCTTAGAATGAATTATTTGGATATAAAAAAATTATTAAATATTTATTAATTAAATACTTATATTTTTAAGTTATGAAACGAGGACATGTGTGGTTTGAAAAGCTGCCTCTGCCACTGACTCTAGTTAACTAATTACGTAAATATGCCGATTGGCTTAAAATCAAATTACGCACGTTTTAGTCCGCTGGATCTCTATTATATCTAAATATATTTAAAGTAGATTCATGGGTTGGTATTGTCCCATTTCAAATTTCGTGATTTGAGAGTAATTCTAGGAAGGTCACTTAATTTATAAAAGAGTAATTCTAGGAAGGTCACTTAATTCATCTTTATATTAAAAATGTCATCATTGGGATTTGTAACCTGGTCACGTAAATGAAGACAAAGCATTATAACCAACTAGGCTATATAATATTTATTGTTATTTTTTTGATTAAACTCTAGAATATGTTTGGTGATGAGTGTAAGTGGGCTCCGGGCCTGGCAGGGCCGTCCACGAAATGACACGAGCACAAACATGAGATGGGTCCTGTCGGGCCTAATATTTTCCAAATCTTATTGAGTATAAGAACAAACATGGCATGAAAATAATATTTATCTGACATAAAATTAATATATAAAGAATTAGTAAAGTACAAAAGATATAAATGCAAAACATGGGTTGGCTTTTCAGTGATTCAAATTTCCAGCCACCAAAGAGCTTTCTGGAGGGGCAAGCATGTCATTACATGTGGTTCATTTCAACATTTTTTATGTGAAAATAAATTTTTAGACCCAGGCAAGATAAAACTCATACATTTTGATTCTTCATTTAAATAAAATAATTTGAAGAATGAACAAACTCTATTCTCACTATGTAGCTTGAATGAATTTTGGCTTTATCATTTACAATAACTAGTACATTTATAATATCTTGATGTTTGAAATCTTTTCTGTATTGTATAGAAGTATACTCATTATTTGTCCCATTAGTGGAAGTAGGTTGAAATATAAGATTTCATATGGTATTCAAAGCAGTATTCTGAAGTAGGTTGAAATATAAGTATATTCATTATTTGTACCCTAAACCCTAAAGCAGATTCATGGGTTTGATTTTCAGCATTTTGAATTTGTTGTATTCAGAGGGTTTCATGTAAGGGCTTTCATGGGTTTGATTTTAACCGATTATCATATCCTCCGATTCCCTGGGAAAATCGGGTATTAAGAGATCCTCGGATCCCCCACCCCTTTATTCTGTCAAAAGACTGCATTTCTAAGAAAATGTATACCTCTTCTAAGAATCTAACGAGTGTTGCTCTGTATTCGATTCAATTATTTAAAACAACCAATACGATTAAATTATTTACCAAACAACCAATACGATGTATTTTTATGTGTACAAAATGAATTTTATTAATTTCAAACATTTGAATATGTATGTTTCTCTTAAATTATTATTCATTAACAATGTTATTTATTTTAGTTAATTTAGTATGTTTTTTTTACGATAATATGTATGTATCTCTTTAAATTATTATTCATTTAGAATGTTATTATGTTAATTAATTTACGATGTTTGGTTTGTGATAATATGTATGTTTCTCTTTAAATTATTATTGATTTAGAATTTTATTATGTTAATTATATGAAATGTCTTTTTATGATAATAAAATTCTGCTTGAAGTTAAATAATATAATTTAATTAATTTAGTTATAAGAAAAAAACCCTTACTAATATGTAATAATTAACGTGTAAATTTTCGCTAGGAGGCACAAACAATACTCCGCTACAGGGGTACGGCCAATGTGCTCCCATTCCACCCAGCTATTTTGCCCTTTCTCAAAAGGGCACGGTTGGACCCGATTAGGCATTTTAACGGCATCAAATTTGATCGCCCACTCATCACCGCATTAGTTGAGAGATGGAGAAAGGAGACCCATTGTTTCAACTTTAGAGAAGGAGAAGTCACCATCACGCTAAAGGATGTCGCCATCCTAACCCATCTGCCCATCGACGGCACACCGGTGTGCGTGAGTGATCATCCCCCCGAGGATTGTGACGGTATGCCCGGTTGGGTTCATTTCATCCACAATGTTTTGGGAGTGAAAGTACCAGTGAAGGGGTGCGTTGATGCGACCGATCGCTTGCAACCAATGAGGAAACACCAAGTCTCAATTACTTGGTTGACGAATTACTTTAGAGACCATTACGAGATTCATCCCCTAACCGAGGAAAGTCCGGAGGATGAGAAGGAGAGATATGCGGGTGTCTATCTCATAGGCATGATCGGAGGAGTGTTCTTGTCCAAAAAATCAAGCAATCTCCTTAGTTGTGGATGGCTTAGGATCATCCTCGGTAGTTGGGAGGAGATGGGGGAGTATAGTTGGGCATCCGCTTGCCTAGCTAGTATCTACCACAACTTGTGCAATGCGTCTCTAAAACCTGTGAGGGAGGTCGGCGGCGTAATGTT